GTATAAATATTATATTATAAATACTTATTATATTATAAATAAGTATTATTAAAATAAATTAATGTAATTAACATAAATAAATTAGTATAAATGTATTGAATACCAACTCGAACTAATATCTTTGAAATTTTCTTAGTTTCTATATACATACTCTTCTATTCAAATAATTTAGATTTTCCCCGTTTTTACATTTAATATACTAGAACGAAAACCTTAGTATTATTTTGGTTTCGGTGTTGTTACAACTTCAATTATTGTTATCCTTTATTTGAGCTTTAATTCTTACTGTACTATAGAACATGTGTACACCCATCCATCTATCTGTCTCCTTCCCATTCCTGATAATTATAATTAATGTAATGACAATAACCTATATAAACTCTAATGTTTTTCTGACTAATGAGTCAGAACACAAACAAATTAATTAAAATAACTCGGTTCCATGATAATGCCACCAATAAACAAAAACTTCTGTGTTTCTAGGACTGGGGCAACGAAAGACTGAGCCGAGCTCAACGTGCCGTCGAAGCTAATACTTACGATGTGGATTCCTGGTCCCTTCTCATTCGTGAGGCCCAAACGAGGCCTATCAATGAAGTACGTCCTATGTATGAGAAGCTGATCAATGCATTCCCAACTACGGGCCGATACTGGAAGATTTATATTGAACAGGAGGTAAGTTTTATCATTAACTCTCATACTCTTCGATTCTTGTGTTACTTTTCATTGTTAGTTCTAACTAAACTTTTGCCTGCAGCTTCACCCGCGTTCTGTTGTATAATAAGTAGCCTGTGTTAACTAACCATCGCGAGTTACTCACGTGAATATACTGAGAAACGCTGCTCATATGAAGAACCCCTCTGTGGTTCGAAACTAGTAGAGCGTTTCTCGGTATATTCACGTGACTAACCCGCGATTTTTAGTTAATTTAGTATGTCTCATGATAGTTAATTATAAAACATAGCCTATATGTATTATTATTCCAGATCATAATCGACTCTTATTACAAATTTCAACACCATCCCTTCTCCCGTTTTGACTTGATCACATAACAAACATACACACAAACACGCAAGCTTTCATTTATATATTATTAATGCTATTACTACTATTACTATTACTACTAATACTATTTATTTTATATAATTAAATAACCGCGTGTGTCTAAACGCGGATCCGCGCGAGACTATGTATTTTCTACTAGCTACTTCCGCGCTGTTTCACACGCTCTGCTCAGCTCCTATTGGTCGTAGCGTGATTTTTTTATAGCCTATAGTCATCCTCGATAAATGCGCTATCCAACACAAAAAGAATTATTGAAATCAGACTTGTAGTTATGGAGTTTAGCGCGTTTAAACAAACAAACAAACTCTTCCGCTTTATATAATAGTATAAGATAAAATAGTCATTCTCGATAAATGCGCTATCCAACACAAAAAGAATTATTGAAATCAGACTTGTAGTTACGGAGTTTAGCGCATTCAAATAATCAACAAATAAATAAACTCTTCTGCTTTATATAATAGTATAAGATTGTATCTCATATCGGTGCATTCAAGCGTTTAATGTATAAATAACTATTTTTGATTACAGATGAAAGCGAGGAATTTTGAAAAAGTTGAAAAGGTCAGTATTATTGTTTCTGGATAAATCGGTTTAATATTCTAAGCTATTTACAGTGTTTAAGCTTTTATTATAACAGGCTATATAGTAAATGAGCTGTGATATATTTAATAATAAATAAAGTACCTATTTAGGATTTTTCTTGACAACAAATATTTCAAAACTGTGATAAATATAATGTCAGTTGTATTACTTTGAATGTTATTGTGTGGTCATTTAGGTTTAATATTGCATGCAAAATGATACATCTATTCGATAAAATGGCTGATTAATGCATAAATACTGAAAGGCCACTCAATATTAAGTTTTACTTAAATATCGTGCCATGTCTGTTATTTAACAAAGAATTTGTAGTGACTGTTATGTTGGGGGATTGATAAATTATAGTCGGATTTATTTTACTTGGATTTATTATAATAATGTGCAGGGCGCCCGACGTGTACACAAAACTGAGTCTGACGGGTAAACAGCGGCATTATTGACAAGTGTTCTACCTTATGATACACTAGCTTCTTCCGCGCGGTTTCACTCGCTCTGCTCGGTGCCTATTAATCGTAGCGTGATATTTTATAGCCTATAGCCTTCCTCGATAAATTGGCTATCCAACACAGAAAGAATTTTTCAAATCGGACCAGTAGTTGCGGAGATTAGCGCGTTCAAACAAACAAACACTCTTCAGCTTTATAAATTAGTATAGATTATAGTGAGGGGGCCACTACTTACTAAATAGTGATGTTAATACAGACTAATACATACATGTTACACCCCCTATCTAAGTTTAAAACAATTACAATAGGACTTAATGACTTAATCTATTTCATCAATAAACCTCTTGGTTGGTCTGACAATACAACCTGACTTTGTCATGTAAAATTCTGACTGTGGAGATAACTAGATAAAGATAAAGATAGTTTTATTTGCCAAAACATGTGTAGGTTACAATAATACATGCAAAAATGAATGTTTACTACAGATGTACAGTATTGTTGGTATCAACATGCTTAACCGTGACCGGTGTACAAATATTAATTAATTTTCCAATAAATCTGTAAGTAAATGTCAAGATACACTAATAATGTCAATAACAATGAAATAATAAAATCAATAGAAATAAGTCATAAGAAACTAACAGAATAGAATAATTACATATTACGGTTAAGTGCTACAATTTAAATATCATTACATTCAATCATTCAAACACATCCATCACTAAGAAATTCATTTACACTATAATAACATTTTTTAATCAGGGTACTTTTAAAAGTTGTTTTAAAAATATTGGCGTTCAATTTTTTCATTGAGTTCGGTATGTGATTATAAATTATTGGAGCTTTGCATACTACATTTTTCTGTAAAAGAACTGTTTTAGTAGGCCGGACACAAAGTCTACTGTTGTCGCGGCGTTGACTATGGGAGGGTATGTGAGTAAATAAATGCAGGTTATGTATACAGGCTAGGTATACTTAAGGGTGACTTATAATTGAGTAACGTTTGATTATTTCGACATTAATCTCTTGATGACGCAGGAAACCTCTGGAAGTAGCATTTGGACTTGTATATATTTTTCGCCAGACTCCTACTATGTAACAACCGCTTTTCACCAGTTACATAACGAGTCCCATGGTATAATGAGTCTTTTCCATACCCCATGGATACGACCAACCTCTATAAGATAAAAAAATCCCCGATAACATCGCCCTACTCAAGGATTGAACTCGGAACTGCTGACTCGGCAGTCACAATTGCAGTCACTTCTTGAACGAGGAACTGAAATCTAGATAACTTGTCCTGTGTCTAAACGCGGTACGAAACAGAATATATTGTGTAAGACACGATAGAAAATATATTGTACCGTCGTTATACCAGCATTCAGCCTACAATAATATTCAAAGTAATATAAACCCTAAGACATTGATAGAAGACTGATAATTCAAAATTGTCGCAGTAAGTAGTTTTATGTATAAGTAATAATAAGAAAATAAAAGGGAAATAATAAAATATATGTTTTTTTTCGGCTAGGGATGATGTGTTCAGACATGTTGGAGGCGAGTTTTTGAGGCAAATTGTCTAGTTTAAAATAAATTGTTTCAACTTTTCAATGCAATAAATAATTAAAAAATAATCATACTCTCATCCATTGATTTGACAATTTACCTACTTTTGAATTTATTCTCGCTAATTTTAAGAAAATAAGTATGCTATTTGACGCAGAAATATGATGACGTCATAAGTTGCGATACAATACAAAATTCATAGAAAAGTATCGTTTTTGACATTTCAGTTTTTTGTCTATTTTTAATATTAGTATTTACTGTTACATATGGGATCAACTTTATATTATTTTACGATTGAAACATTTGCCAATAAAGCTCACTTTTGACATGTATTTACCCTATACATAAATTCCTTTATATTTAATTTAGAATGTCTTAAGTCTATTATGATATATTTTGACCTAATTGAGGGGGGGGGGGTGAAAAAGGATATTAGAAGAAATGTAGGATTTATTCAGATTGCCAAGCACGAGGAGCTGTCGTATTCGTAGCGTAAGAGTATTGAGCGCTCTGATTGGCCGGCGCCAAACGCGCTAACTACTAATACGTACGAATGCGATAATTATTCGTGCTTAGCACTCAGGTTCTT